CTCGCTAAATAAACGTGTACGCAGTAAAATTAACTTGTGGTGCTCGACGCCTAAAAGAAGACCTCTTCTATTGTTGACGAACGTGGCAAATTTTTTAAACACTTGTTATTTTAGAGCATGAATCTGGAATGCCTACGCTCTAAATAGGGAAGTGGGCTCCGCCTGGAAGGCTGATATCCTCGAGAAAACTTAAATGAGATAGAAAAAACGTGAAAGCGTCCAGCTTTGCGCCATCTACCATGTAAAGAAGTGAAAACCCGGTGCTACATTTGTGATAAAATGGAGACTTGGTCACCAGCTATTGTCAATGATTCCAATGGAATAATCTAGTTTATTTGGGCCCCGAGAGGATCAGAGAGCGAGACGTGTAAATACCTCTTTTAAGAAAAAGTTTAAGTGTGCATTCACCGTGGTGATATTAAAATAACGCTTGGCAGTTTAATAGACAGCTTAGACAAGGAGGAGATCTTTGTATCAGCCGTTTCAGCATACGGAGATCTATGAAGCCACAGACTGAAAAACCAGAAACAATGCGATTGATAAATGATATTCTTCTAGTGTTTTAGCCGTACGTACGATCGAGGACGAACTACTGTAGAAGAAATATTGAACTGGCAACGCGAGCTACATACAAGGCGAAGACAAAAATTCGTGGAATGCAAAGGTTGCAAGGGAAATACAGTCAACATATTTATTTTTCCCCTTCAATATAGTTTATTGGATCGGGAAAAAATATTTTTTGTCTTTCGCCTCAAAATGAGCCCAAAATCGCCTCCTTGACCTCATTGTCGATGGAAAATTTGTCGTTGGAACTTTACAAGGGCACAGCCATAAGCCCAAATCGTTTAGGCGTTTTTTTTTTTATTAAATACCTACACCTTTTAGAGACAATTTCCGTTTTTATAAAAATATAGTTAATTCTGTAGTATAAATCAATAAAATATAAATGTAAAGGCTTACCTAACATTTAGAAAAATTAGCAAAATTTGTTGCATTTTTTCTATTTTTTTTTATAAGAATTTTTAAAAATTTGTTTGGTATGCAGTTTTGTAGCCCATTCAATTTTAGTGCATGTTTGAATCGGCTAAGAATTCATGAGCCTTTTTTATACTCCCAGCTTACACAGCCAGTGGTTTACTCGTTGGATCGAATCCCCGTGAAGAAGTCTGATGATCAGATGTGGTGATCTCCGAAATAGCAGCTATAACTTCTACCATTTATAAATTATTGTTGTTTTCCACAATAGTTATCATTTTAAACGGTCTCATGCTCAATAAAATGGTTGAATATTTTTGCTATATAAGGAAGCCATTGCTCAGCACCATTAGCTAAAATATAGCAAATATTAACGAAATTTATGAGTTATGAAAAAAACTAAAAAATTCTGAAAAAATATTTGAAACTTTGCTGAAAATTGGCGAGTTTTTCTAAATTTTTGAAAAGTTTGTTTTTTATATTTAAACTGTTTATATAGTACCATTAACTATATTTTAATAAAAATAAATAAAAAAAATTACCAAAAACGTTATTAAAATACAAAATTAAAATATCTATATAAAAACGTTTCGTAGTAGGAGTACATAAGTATGTACATTTCTAATGAGTCACATGTGCAATTTGGGCGTATTGCGCACATACAGAGCACATAAAATTATTACCAAAAAGCCTTTCAATTCCGCTTGTCATTTTTAAACATGTCAAGGTTGCATGTACTAGAACATACTACATACTGCCTGCAAAAGTACTACTTAAGTTATGTGAGAAAAAAGCTTACCCCGCAGCAAGATACATTTGAAAATTGCAAGGAAAAGCTATGCTTAGAAAGTTTGTCTCAACTATCGCTACAAGTGCAAAAAGAAATGTTAGCGAAGTATTTTTACAAAAAAAAGCACTGCCTCCTTTTTACTCCCACACATTCGTGCAAGCACATTTAAGAGCCAAGAGTGCATTTTCTCATGTAGATACATATTTACAAACATATCTAATATTTACAGTGCATGTGTTAGCGCGCGCGCGCGAGTGAAAGCATGAATAATGCAAGCAGGTTAAGTGCATTTGTTGCGCCAGCTGCTATTCGCCAACATGGAAATGGCATTCGGCATTGCCACAAAGATTGCAGACTTTTCGGTGATGCCAATACATACATAAGTAACTAAGTAAGAAACAGTTGTTTGAAAAAGTGAGCCTGTTTCAAAAAATTAACTATTTAGTTATCTAAGGTTTTTCAATACCTCTTAAGCAGTTGATAGCTGAATGCTTCAGAAAAAAATCCTGAAATTGAAATTCAGGTTAACTTAATTAACTGGAATATTAATTTCACAAGTGACGACCTAATTATTGACATTCGTTCTGATGCTGGAAGTTTACATTCAGAATGAGCCGAATACCACACTCAGTTCATCTCGCTGGCCACTTTCATCATTCCTCACATGTGAAGGTCTCGCTCGCGGTCTTAACCGTAAGTAACATTGACCTGTTGAGAGCCATCGATACTCTTTGTCATCCACGCTATCATAAGATAGTGAAGAAGACTCTCTTTCACGAAATTTAATTGTATGAATTCAAAAAGTTCACTCAGGCGTGTCGCTTGAGTTTTACTGATCTCTTACGTGAAGATCTGTGTGTTGCAAAGTAAACGCCTGTCACTCCGAGCTATATATTTTCTTAACTCAACGACGGTTTATATTCAGCCCTATGAAATCAAATTCTGGACGAAAAGGTAAAACTGAAATTAAATATCCATGTCGATGGTTTACCAACACTGACGTTTAAGCCAGATCACAGTGTGTCGTATAGAATTAGCGAGATGGACAAAATTCATTGCCGAATATGTAGAAAATGATCACTTTTTAACATAAAGGATATCCGCAAAGCCCTGCCTAAAAGTTTTTTTTTTATATCCTACATTCTACTGGGAGTTATTACAGTGTTCAGAAATCTATTTATAATTTTACTGAAATTCAAAAATATATATATATACTATTTGAAAAACCTTTTATTGTAAAAGTGTGCACACAGACCATTAGTTGCCTTGATGTATGTCAAGATATGCACCTACAGTGACAGTTTTTAAATTTTTTTAATTTTTTTTTGAATTTAGTACAAGGTCTGAAATGCTGATTTATATCGACGGCTGAATGGAAGATTGACCTATCTCGGCTGCCGGTTTGGAAGCACCCTATCTCAGAAAATGACTCAAGAGCGTCGTTCTTCAAAATTTAGGAGAAGGACGCCCTCTGTCGGAATTTTTTTTTCAAAAACGGTCCTATTTCAACTGAAAACATATTGAAAATTTTTTGCTAATATAGAGCGTTTTTGAAGTGGCAGCAGAGATAGCGCGTTTTCGAACCAGATGCCGAGATAGGTCGATCCTCCACTCAGCCGTCGATATATCGTTTGTTATGTAATTAGTTACAATTAAAAACAAAATTATTAAACATCAAATAAACAAAAGAAAACTATTTAAAATTTTGTCAACATTTTTTTTGTTTCTATTGTTTTTTCTACCAATGTTCGTTTATGTATTTAAATCGATTAAATTGACGATAACGATATTACCCGGACATCGATAACTTATCGATAAAACTTCGTTAAAAAACAATATTGATTACTTTTATATCACCGATAAATTTGTACTAAATATCGATAGTGCCATCAACGAAAAAATAACTAAATATCGAAAATGATATCGATAAATATTATTGTAAATAAGAATATAGATAAATGTGTGGATAGTCATAACCAAAGCAATATTTTTTAAAATTTCAATAAATATATTTATCGAGCATGATTTCGACCGCAGAATATTTAAAAGAACGCAGCTAAAATGTAGATCAATAACGCAAACACCTGTACGTCTGTTTAATATGTACTTAGTACACCTATAGTACAAGCATTTATTTTCATGTTACCTTTGTGGTTTTTCGCCATCGATGCCGCGTAGCGCCAGTTTCCGAAGCGCCAACTGCAGCATCAAATATTTGCAGAATGCAAGGATATTTCTTATTCAATACGTCTCATTCCATGCTCACCTGTGTACAAATATACAACTCCATAAGTATTTCATCTGTAACTACCTACATACATACATATGTACATATTTGCTGTAACTTTAGCATTTTGTATGTGAAAGCATTTTCTTTTCACACTTGCGAAAATATTTAATCAAACCTTTCTTGCCTTTCGGCTTCGTCTTTAATTCACCTTCACTATTAGTATATTTGTATGTATGTTTTAAATTGTACCATGATGTGCATGCATAGTTAATATTAGCCGTTATTACTTCTCAATACAGCATCGCATGGTTTCTACTGAATTTCGTTTGCAATTTCATTTCGACCACAAACTTTGCACTTCTAACTATTAAAATATTGAAAAGCTCTCTGTGCTCTTGAAGTATGTATGTATGTATTTTTGTGAAACAATCAAGCTGAGTAGAGTAAAATTCGAGTAGATTTTCAAGTATTTATTTTTACTTCGATTTTGTAAATACTTACGAGTGTAAGTATGCACTTACAAAACAAATGAAGTTGTACAGTAGATTTAATTTGATAAGATTTCATCGATCGATTTTATCAGCTGCATTTGTATACATATTTATTTGATTGCATTTTTGTGGTGTAGATGTGGCTTTCGAGCGGATTGTTTTGAGTAACTATTTTATTTTTAAATTTATATGAATTTAATTAATTACTGATTTGAAGAATTATTGATTTAAAGAAATTGATAAGAATTTAATAAATTATTGGTTTAAAGAAAATAAAAATAATATGTACATACGTAAACACCTAAATCTGTTTTTTTAGTCAGGTCAGCGACGGTTGGCGGTCCTCTGAAATAACTAGTACACAATTTATAATTCAAAAAATAAAAACCCCTTATCTACTGTTAAGTGAACTAGGTTTCTTTTTCTTCCTGTCCAAGGCTGAGTAATATATAGGCGAGAGGACAGTCGGGAGGATAATTCTGACATTGGTCTCATACCATTTCTCTCAGTATTACTACGATGTGCTTTTCCTATTCTCATTTCCATTTACACAGCCAGCAAACATTTCAAATAATGAGCCTGATGCTCCCAAATCAAGCTTGCACGAGCCGCCATTGGTCTTCCTACCGCTTCTCCCCTGAAACGTGCAAGCAGATTCAGAAGTGTCATCGGAACGGCCACGACCTTCTAGTTCCACCTGCCTAGAATGAGCTCTGGAATCAGTAGCCAGACCATCGTTAAACCCAGCTGAGGTCTCCTCGAACTCAGAGACTGATAGCACTGTGATTCTTGACACAATCAGTGTGTGATCTGCTGCCTCAGGTCTATGCACATCATTTCTAAAATAAATTTAAAAAATTTATAAATTTGTAATGTACTCATTTTACTCAACTTCGGTTTAAAAAAAATGCATAACTCAAATTATAGTAGAGTGCACCCCATAATACTATACTTAAATATAGCGCAATACTCAAAGCTACCATTGTGATTTTTTTTAAATTTTTTCAAGATTGCATATTTTCAAAAACTAATTTTATTTTAATTTGTATGTGAAAAATTTTTCAAGAAAAAAATTTTAAAAATATTTCTTTTCATAGAGAATTTTGATGTGTAAGTGTTATTTTTTTCAAATTTTCTCCTCGCCCGTTCTCGAGATATTTGGAAAACTATTAAATCGATTTATTTTTGTTCATATCAACCATCAACCCTAAAAATTTTAAAAATTTTAAACAAAAACATGAAGTGTGAACCCCGTCCGTTTTGGTATGGAATGCCCCATATATATATAGACATTTGTACTTACCATTCATACATACATAAGTACGATAACTTTGACAGCTGTACCATAACCAAACCTTTTTCTTAAATACCAAACAACAATATAATAAATTTTAAAAGCAGTTTAAATTTCAAACCACACAGTTCGGTGGTTGCCAAATGACCAATGTGCCATTAAACTTACCACTACACCTTTTTACCTTAAATTCTCCAATACTGTTGTGGAAGCACAAACGAAATGAATGAAAGTTAATATCAAATGTTAAACGAATGGGATATCCGCCCGCATGCTTGAAACTGTGTGTGTTTTTCAGTAGCAGTTTTTCGCTCGATTTGAGTTGTAACCTTAATGAATTTACTTTAATCCGTATAAGCTCAGCGACAATGGCAAAGAACGAAAACTTTTTTTAAATTCACAACACATACCAGAAGACAAACACGTGCACCAAAAAATGCGGATAAGCGTCCACATGCTGAGGCAACCAGGCAAACAAATGGTTTGGTAACTATTTTGTGAGATGAAAGCTGTGATTTTGTGTTAAATGAAATCTTAAACGATATTATTAAAAAAAAAAAGCCAGTTCATCGCTTTACTAAAAAGGCATAACAATCAATTCAACCTTGTCTTCCGTTTTGGTGGCCTTGGTGAAGTGCAACGCAATTAAATAAACTTATTCCTTTCATTCAAAATGGAGAAGTATGTGGAAGTTTTCAAAATTCAAATCGAACACTTACTAAGATTGCCCTTGAGATTGAAGAAACCAGTTTAAATTTGAACGCGGTGCTTTGTGCTGCATTTAATTAGTAAGGGAGTATGTTTGCTATTTAAGCCAGATCGGACTAAAAATATTAGTTTTAAAAATATCGCGATCACAGCGCCACCTATCGAAAAATCATGCAATCTACTTCCAATTGGCTCGAAGGAAAGGAAGAAGATCTGCCTTTACCAAATCTTAGCAGGTCGCGTCTTAGCTCTGCGTCTCAGTTAAAGATCCTTTCGCCGGCTGAAATGTCTGGAAATAAGGACGTCGAAAGCAGTGAAAAAGCTTACTAGTTAGCTGAAACACAGAAGTATTCTCAATAGTATTGTAGCAGATTTCACGCAGTATTGGACTTCCGCTTAAGTTAGCTTGTATAGGCCGTCTTCATTTAGATTTTGATGGAGACACACTGTTGTGATATCGTTTAGGCTCGTGGCCGACTATATTCCTAAAAATATATAGACCCAACTTTTTTTTGTTTCTAAAGTGCCTAAGATCGGTCGGAAAAGTTTTAACTGTAGAATATCTACTAACCTTAAAAACATCCTTTTTTAATACCGCCTAATACCATTGCTGCCACAACCAGCGTCAGCAGGTTTCCGGTAAACAAAAACTGGTCAATTCTGTAACAGATCGTTCCACGTTTATGCCGCTCTCACATACCACCTACAGCTACGATGCTTACAATCATGTGAGACAATTTTCGTCTTGGTTAATATTACATGATTAACAAAGATAAAGTTGCCTGAGTCCCGTTTGTCTCCGAAAATGGAAAAATAGTTGTTGGATGCTTTAAATTTCGTCCCCATCTCGGCAGCTTCACCAACCACCTTCAGTTTGGGGTGTTTGCTTTCGAGTTCGGGCCAGATTTGACGTGCTACCCCAAATGTTGATCCTCTGCTTAAAATTCGCCAGTTAAACTCAATAAGTTTCCAGTTTTCGGGATGTAAACAGTATACGATCTCTATGGGAAAAGTTTTTGGCAGAAAGGACTGTTCCGCTGCTGACCATTTCATTTGCCTGATATATATAATTCTGTAGTTTGGAAGCCAAATTGCTCTTGTGGTGTACTTGGATGACAGCGTTCTTAAGATTTATTAGCAGCGAAGACTGTTAAGATTAGCCCTAATCAGTCACAGTGCGGCTTCTTTGATTGCTATCAACTCAGCTTTATGTAGACTGTTGTAACAATCAGAAGCATAATTTCAAAGAAATTCACCGAGTATGCTCTGCCACATTTTAAAGCCGTCGATGTCAATGAATATAGTTAAATTAAACTTCCAAGACTTTGTCTTTGGATTCGTTTTTCGGTGGATATGTATGGAAAAACCATTTTTCAAACTGAAGGTTGCTAACGGGTAGGACTGATTTAGTAGGGTTGGTGTTGAGTTCGCTTTCCTTCGTCTAGGTCTAAACAGAACATAGAGCATTTTGTAAAAGAACTTGAGGGTTTTTACGCACGGCGCTATCGTCATCATACGCAATGGTGTGACAGCCCCTGTTTGGTAAACTCACACAGAGATTTTTTTTATCGTTAAGCCTCCTTATAAGTGGGGAGAGGTACTTATCTTACTAGTGTCGTGCCTATTAAAACGTGTCCAGAAACAAAAATTCCCCCTATCTTCACGCAATTAGCGTGGGTACTGAAATTTCTGCTTGGAGTAAAGATTTACCATTCACTACTGGATGTATTTCACTTACTTGGGTATATGTACATAAATATGTAGCTTCTGCCCGACACACAAGTACACATACCGAAACCTATTTAAATTTTTTAAGAAGAAAAAGGTAAGGCTAATACGTCAAAAGTGTTTTCGTTTCACATAAGAAGATCTGACTCCCTTAGAGATGAAGACATTTTTAACTTTCTGGTTATATGGGACCGATGCAGGTAAGTCCTACATATGGACGTACGGGGCCAAATGCTTGGGGCTTGGAGCAAAGTGCTTTTACAGTTTGATTAGTTATCACTCGCGTAGTTAAACGTTTGTATGATAAATCGATAAAAACCTGTGTCTTTTACGAATCATTCCACTGATATTTCAGATCACAAAAAGCTTAAAATAACTCGACACTTTGGTTAAACCAGGTCGAAGATTCGTTGCACCAAAACTACTTTAGCTTGCTACATCTAATCCGACCACTAAATGCCTAATATTTTTCACAGTGTTAGTAAGTACTCACACTTTTACACCGCAAGCAAATAGTGTACATACATATAGATATATAATATGTATGTATGCATGTATGTGTACTTATTCAGGAAGGTAGCAGCCACATAACACGCTCTGCATGCCAAATGCGGTTGAAGCTTAGGTGACTTTTGGTGTTTGTATAAAACTATCATACAACTACCTTTATATGAACCTTTACTCATATACATACATATACATACGGTGACCATATTTATGGGAGCCGAATACCGGACAAAAAATAATTTTGAACATTTTTTCCACAAAAACTTATTGATCTTAAAGCCTTCTTCAATAATCCTAGATGTATTAGCCTTGAAATGGCATCCTTGTAGTAACATCATAAATTTGTAGGAAATTTTCCCCGAGATTTTTACCCACAAAATTAAAAAGAAACCTTAAATTTAAGTACAATAAAGTGCGATTTTGAAGTCGCTAAGACTTACCGTTAATTTTTGACCATTTTTTTTATGTTGTTGACGATGTTGAGCATCTTTTTCATACAAAGTAGGTAAGTATGGCTGACTTCCAAAACGTCAATTGCTTTGCATACGTACAAAGTATAACATAACGTCGAACTACAAAATATTGACAATGTATACTGTTCCAAAACATAAGTTATCGAAACGCATCGCCCGAGCATACTTTGAACTGCTATCAAATTATAACTTAAGAAAGTTTTATTACATGGCAGTTGAGAAGTGCATTCATTAATTTAATGAAGGAAATTTTTGGACATGCAGCAGCACATAGCACGAATTTAGGCGCCTGGTGTTAGCAGTCGCACTTAAACAGTATTATATGGGTTTTTTAGGAAAAGAGCTTTCTTTACTTTCATAAAGAATAATAAACGTTAAATAAACTAAGGAAAAATAGCCAAACTTTGCTGAAATGTCGAGTCCTAGCTTCTATTATGGCCACTGTATGTATTCCTCGAATCGAAACACAGGCATTCAGATCACTTAAAACTCATTCATAGGCTGGCCTTTTTAATGAGATGTTAAGGCATCGAAACACCGAATACGGGACAAATACAGGACATTAAAAGAAATACAGAACATTTGGCGCCCGTATAAAATAAATAAATTGCCAGGACAACGGGTCCAAAAAGAGGACTGTCCCGTATAATACAGGACGGATGGTCACCGTACATATACAGCATGCTTAAATATATATATATGAGTTTGTCAGCTTCAAAACTTTTTGTTGTAGTTTTGTATATACATATATAATTTTTTAAAGTATCCCTTTTCAACACTACACATATGGATACAGACAGTTTTTCATTGCTACATGGTACTGTGCTAGGTTTACATGTACTCGTACATATGTGCATATGACTGTAGCTAAGCTATAAATATACAAATGTCATATGTTTGCGGATTATTTGCGGATTTTCAATATTTGAAAATCTTCCACTACTCTGCTTCGGTTGCTCTTTTTAGCATAACTTGAATTGCGTCCGCACCAAAAAATACACGAATCGTATTTACAAAGCAAACTAAGGGCTAAGGATTTAGTTGAAAGCAGCCAGTTATGTAAACACACAGAGTGGTGGTGGGGAAAAAAACAGATATGCATGTCCGTAAAGTTAAGCGAATGGATACT